TCAAAAAAGCAGCTTGTGCTCCATCAAATTAGCAAACAAGATGGCTTCATTTGAGTGCAGTAACTGCTAGCCTTTGTGGAACCTTTTAAGGGACGACTTGCTGTTCCGAAGGTCACTATCATTTTCAGGCCGTCGTGTGGATCGATTTGACCTATCTATCTCACTATGGAAGTACCGTACAGGAAGACTGACAGGGCCTGTCTACATTAGCAATACGGCGAGTAACGTTAGGTCAGACACACGAGGTCGTCGTGTGGAGAGCCGTGGCGAAGAGTGCCGGTGTGATTGGCTTGATTGGTCAATAATTATGCCACCCCTAAGCAAGCGGTATTTTAAAGTATAGTCGAGTCTTCGCTTTTTTTTTCCTTTCTATACAGTCGCTTCCTCTTTCGTATGAGCCGAGAGGTGATACACCTATCCCGTTCAAGCGATAGGTGCTGCTCACTCAGCTTGTGTAACATTGAAGCTTAATCACGCACGCATGACAGAAAGGTCGAACGAATGAATGGACAGCCGAACGACTTCTCTGCGATATCACGATTTCTCCTCCTTCGCTATGCCTACTTTATGAAGCCTCCACCAGCCAATGAGCCAGCCTAATGGGCCAATTTGTAGCCCAAGGTCGGTGGCCCGATCTGTGCGTAGGCTATTAGTGGGTTTGTCTGATCACTCCGTTGTCTCCCTTGTGTGTGTGTGTGTGTCCCTTTACATCGGTTAATGTAACCGTCGAACATTAAAGAAGGACCGAAAGAATACTGCCTCGTATTTGAAATCGTCTGGTAGATTAAAGAGGTGTGAACGAGGTCATGTGATGAACGAGGATCGTGCTTGCCATTGAGACATTTCTCTCGGCGTTACCAACTGCATCTGCCACTTCAGTCGCCGTTATGGTGCTAGTCCAGACAAAGATACACGTGTATCTATAGACTGTGTTTCGCACGAATATATACTGGTCTCTTAGTGATAAGTACATTAAGCGGCTTATATCTGATTAAGTTTATTTTATATCTGAATAGATAAACATGTGGCTGTCCTTTAAAGGGCATAATAAATAACGTTATTAGACCGTAGCAAACAAAAGCACGCGTAACTGCGTGCAACGTATATACATTGCCTCATGAGGTACCCACAAATAAAAACACTGACTGGCAATCATACGTTGCTAGTAGACACAAATTATAATCTCCATATATATATAGACACTTTTCAAGTAACTTTAATCTGTGGAATAGAGGTGATCCACCGATTCAACTTTTTTCGCTTTTTTTTAGGCTTAGAAATTAGGCTTGTCATGCAAACTTCCAAAGATCGACAAAGTTGGATAGTTAATAAATGGACTTCGTCTCCTTTTTTATTGACTCCAACTTGTACATTGTGCGTATAGTATTGGCAAATATTTAGAAAAAGCTTTGGAACTTCTGTCATGCGCATAATTACTATATAATAAATAATAGGTTATTGAAATAAACTCCGTATGTTTTGAGCCTATTGACAAAATTGCAATATCACTCACAATATAAGCGATAAATGTATTTCCTACAGAATCGCCGCCGTTTAACCGAAACTCTGTCCTTATTTAGCAATTTATATTTGATATGGACAATACTAAATACAATTTTCTATTTTGATTCTCTGGCAACAATGTCCGACGATAGCCCTTGCTTACTTCGGACATCGAAACGGTTAGTCGTACCTATTTGCTAATTTAATGAAACGGTCGATGTACAAGTGTAGAATATACTGCTAGCTATTCTTGCAGTGTTTTCCCGTTACGTAGTTGTTCAGGAATTGCGTACGAACATGTTGGGCGTCTATTACGTCTGTGTGTGTCGGGATTTTAAACGGCTAGGGATAGCGATTCGTGAGTGGAATCGGTGCTCCTGTGGGAGTGTGTGAGGCCAACAGATTGTTTCGATAGGTGTAGTCGAATCGTCGAGACGCGCCATCTTGACGGCGACAGGGCAGCAATGAAATTGAATTTGCTTTAGCAGAGAGACTGAGACGGGCTCGGTTTTTTTTTTTGTTCACCCAAAGGCACATTTGGCTTAATAGTCGACCAAGCGTCACGCAAAGCTGAATGCCATGACCATTGAAAGAACTCTGTCTGAAATCGTTTGTAGATGCGCTACGTGCCAAAAGACAACGTTGACCAAAAACATCGAATGTGAATTTGACGTAAATTAAGTTAAAGATTTGGATCGTGTTAGACGCCGCTGACTAACTCTAATAGGCCCTATATATTAAAGGGTTCTAGACGTTTAAAAAATGTTAGATAGTATAGAACGTTAATGCTTCTCAGCCATATGTTCTTAAGAAACGAGACTCTAAAGGGCGACCCTCATCCAATCTCAGATTTAAATATGGGACACTCTAATAGGTTTTCACAGACGGTGTTGAGTAATGTTGGTAGTGCGAAGCGTGTTGGCGCTTCAAGGGATGAAACTCAGAGTTTTTCCGAATCAGATCGGAAATCAACGAATTCATTTGAATACAGGTCCGACTATTAAGCATGCATTGATGCATGTTTTTGGCACGGTGGTACGGTAAATTACTCCTGCAGAATCTTTTCAATGATTGCGTTCATTTTTGCTACTTCTCCAGTTATGCAAAGGAATCAGGCTTATTCGGCATAAAATTTAACGGCCAGATTGCTGAATTCAAGGGTCAATTTCTGAAAATTGCTCCATCACTAAGCGATTACTATTTTTAGAAGTTGTATCGGTTCTTAAACGGACAAGCTTCCGTTTTAGACAAAGGTCATAAGATCTAAACCTCCATTGGTCAGTTTGCTCAGACACGTTTGCTTACAACGAGTGCACCCCATCGATTCCGGACTCGGATAGCTGCTAGCATTGCATGTGACGATGGGTGACAACTGACGTATTGCAAGCAGTACTCCAGAAAACAGAAAATTTTGTGGCCATCTTTGAGTTTTTTCGGACACCTCCTAATTCGTACGGGTGGAAATTACAATGAGTTATCGCTGATCAGACGTGAGGCAGCGTCCAGGTGATTCCTGCGCCAGTCGCTTGAACCTGTGGACATGTTTGTCTGCTGCTGGTATTTATTACAATTGTCACGTTTGATGATGAAAACGACTCGTTTTAGATTCGCACAACGGCTAAGACATGACGTCTTGACGAACGCCTCAATTTGCTGGAACTGTTGTGATGACCCTATACGCATCATCGCCATCTGCCGGGTTATCTGATGTGTGTTCGCTATCATCTTCATTGTGACGGTACTATTCCCATTTCGACAGAATCTATAAAACGCCAGTTCAACTGATGTACGATGCTTGATGGTGTTCCTAGCGGTCAAGACAAATCTCTTAGCAACAATAATAATTTATTGAACATTGTCACGGATTGTCCGCCAACTTTAGCTGACATTAGACTGACGGCTGAGTTACAAAATACGTAATTTGTCATCAGATCGTATGTTGATAAAGAGCTGTATTATCTTGTCACAAAAGTTTAAAGGCTGTAATAATAGGCAGATTAGATCGACTTTATCGAATTGAAAGCTCACATCGGCACCTCATCATTATATGTGGCCCTCATGTCTTTGGATAGACTTCAGATACCGACATTTTTGGATAAATTAATCGCACGCAATAGTTAGCACTACATTTAAAAGCAAGGAGCAAGAGTTACTGCTAAATCCAGTAATGGAGTCATTTGCTTACAGATTCAGTAATACTAAACTCTTTATTTACTTTTTTTACTTAAAAATAGCCCCTTCGGGGGTTTTACATTTTGCAACGTTTAGACAATGATAATAATCGTATGATATTTATCTGCATTAAGTGGCTTAATTGATCCATATGAGACTCATAATGAAAAGGTTTTTACATATAAGATTTTCATACGACTTATTACGATAAAGTTTCTGCGTTGCAATAACAAGTACTTTGAATCGTAATAATGTAACCGAGCTATTACGCTGTAACTTCTGCTGCCCTACACCACTCGGTGATTTGCGTTTATCCTAAATTGCACGACAGGATCTTCGCGTGTGACGGTGACTTATCAGGTTCCGATAGAATTAATTCGTCAGTTCTTCTTTGTTACGAGGCCCTGCCAGTCAGCCAGCTCCACTTCATCGACACTTGGACAAACCCAAAATCTACCAACGCGGATTCATTTCCGAGCCGCTAAGAATGAGTGAACATTTCTTACGAACGGTCACGATCGCATTTGCATCGACTGAAACGTTTGCTCCCTCGAGGGCAAGTCTGAACGAAAATTAAATCGATGCACCGACCCAACCCAAAAATAATGCTGATTATTATCGGAGGCATCGTTCGGGAAATCATACGAAGATCGTAGAAACAAAATCAAAAATAATCAAACGTCTGATCGAAAACAAAACTGTGGCACCATGTGTGTTTATCAACGCGGTCATCGGTGAATATTCAAATGGAAAAATAAGTGAAATTGTCATTCGGCATCATCGTCAGCACTGGCCTCTTATCCACAGCTCCCCAAAACGCCTGACCTAACCCTAGTGGATTTCACGACTGGCAATACTATCTTTGCAAAAGCTGTCTGCTGGATGGTAACCGAGAAAAACATGGAATAAAAAACAAAAGACAAGATAATTGCTTATTGTGTCTAATCTCTCTTTTAATGCTGGCGTATATAAGGAACTAATATATAGTAGTTTCTATATGGGCTCGGATACGGTAAAGCAAAGTTGTAACTCAGTTTTGCCAGAATCTGTCTGCGATAGCACAAAAATGGCTGTAATTATAGAAATAGATAATAAGCAAGCATACAAAGCGCGATATTTTACAATATCCCTTTAATAACTATAT